TTCAGCAGGGGGCCCACATTTTCCCTGGTCTTCCTTTTGCTATGAGTTATTTTCATTTCCTGTTTACGTACCTTATTTGTTCTTTTCCTGGTGAGTCTTTCAACAGCTTACTTTTATGTTTTGCCTCGGTGAGTCTTTCCTTAAGTGCCCCTGATAACACACTGACTCTTCCCTCTTCTTCCTCCAAGTCTTTGAATCTCTGCAGCAATCTAACACTACTGCTTCTGTATTTGAATCACTTTTCTAAAAATCTACTGTGGGATAAAATGCGAGGATGCAGAAACTTAAGGCTGATAGAAAGAAACCGTTTACCTGGTGATTTCTGGTATATACATACACGAGGCCAGAGCATATATCTTAGCCTGCCACAGCAGTACTTCTAGGCATTATATAGCATTTCCTTGAAGCAGGCAGTAACTGTCGAATCATTAATTGCCTACACTGATACATCTTTTGGTTTCAGCTTTTTGATATGCTGTTTCATTTCAGAGCCTATTTTTGTGGATGCTCACCTTATCCCAGATGGCACTGACCCCAATGATGCCAAAATCTACTTCTTCTTCAAAGAGAGACTCACAGACAACAGCGGCAGCACAAAGCAAATTCATTCAATGATTGCAAGAATATGCCCAGTAAGAACTATTTTGTTTGTCAGGTTGTTGGGACAAGCTGCTAGCGTGACATGCTAAGCTAAAAGACTAAATGATTGAAAAGCCTTTGATGTATATTCAAACCAAATTTCCTGTTTCAGCTTCCACATTCATAATTAAGAAGAGCTGTTACTGAACACACAGCTAGGGTCTGAACATTTTATCTACATCTGGCTATACCTATAATGATACAGAAATTAGAGGTTCAAGGGTGTGTGTATTTCTCTGACTGAGTCAGAGTAGCTACCAGTGTTGAATTTCCAAACTCCCTGTCCTTTGCATGGGGTACATTCTTTGCTTCGAAAAAACAGAATTATAGTATGGTGAAGTCTTCCACATATACACACACACAAAAACACTCAAAATCTTTGAAACACATTGGAAATATCAGAGCCAAGCTTTTAAATGGGTTGACTTAACTTTCAACTGTTATTTTCATTTTTACAATATCTGTCCAAGTTCTTGCATTGATGTGTGTGTGAGCCTAACTTTACAAACATGCACAGGAAAATCAGATTCAGGAGTTATGGCTACTCCTGTGCAGTAATTTAGGATCGCAGTGCTCCTCATTATCTTTGTTTCCTTTTTCATATCTGTAGTCAACTGTAGATGAAAAATGATTGAAGCAGCTATTAATATCTTTTATGAAATGGATTTTTTTTTAATGAGAGAAATATTATGATTTCACAATTACTGCTAGCCTTTTCATTCCTACTTTTCGAAAGGCTCAGGAAGATAATTGTGAGCATTCATATATTCCCTGTCTTTATCTGTGTCTTCTTTAGAATTTGATGCTTTGTGATGTTGTTGTGTATGGGTGTGAGGGCGTGTTTGGGATTGTGTTAAACTCCTCTGGCAACATGATGAGGCATGTGATCTCTTTTATAATCTCCATTTTCTAAATTTTTGTGAAGGGGCACAAAGGCCTTTTTGGGTATTTTGCAAGAAGACATTTCATACAATTATGGCTGGATTTGTTGTTGTTACTGTTATAATGAAGCCCAGATGACTTCTGAAAAGCCTGTTTAGGCTTATGATGAAGTCAGTGGCAGAATCCCAAAGCCAATGAAAATAAATCTGAGCCAGTCATATTTGTATACTTGTATACCATCATATTCATACACCAACACCTTTGAGACTGGGTAAATATATTAGTACAAGGGTGTTAAGAAAGACCCCCCCTTAAGACCCCTTATGGGTCACCCAGGAAGCTTCAGGTGCACCAGTGAAACATGCACAGCGTTTCATCAAAATCACATTTGCCTAGCTTCTACGTTTCCTTTATCCCTTTCCTTGAGTGGCATTCTGCTATGCCATTTGGAAGATACTGCTCTTATCTAGGGCATTCACGAGAACGAGGCAGAAATTATCACGTCTGTTCTGCACCATCTGGTTTAGCAATTACATTTTGCACCTTGTACCATGGAGAGATGGAAAGATCCTTGAGCGAGCTGTGACAAACCAGCTCTGGACCAAGCTAGCAGGACTTGCAAAAGGACTAGTGTAAAACTAGTTTGACCCATGCTAGCCGTCATTTCTCCATTTAGTTCAGAACATCCATCTTATGGGCCAGCATGGCTTACTAGGTCAGATGCAGCTATACTGCTGTCAGGACTGGAAGGCACCCCTCCATAGGACTGTTAGACCTTTTAGAGATAGCATGGACTTCTCCACAACAGCTGACAGTGAGTGATACAGACCTCCACAGTCCTTTTCAATCATATCTAAACACTCCGCTCTTGCACAAAATCTGCTGTGCAACCTTCCCAAGCCTGCTAAGCCAGCACAGAAAGTCTGCTCAGAAAATTAGTTCTTTTTTGCCTGTATCTGGAGTGTTTAGACGACGGGATTTGGTTTAGGCCTATCTATTTTTTTAATTGAATTTACCAGCATAATTGTCTAGATGATGAGTCAAATTAACGTCAGGAAAATGTGCGAAAGCGCGATAAAATGTTAGCTGTGTTCTATTTTTTTTTTCTGAAAAAATATTCCCTTCTAGAATGACACAGGTGGTCAGCGTAGTCTCGTAAACAAGTGGACAACGTTCTTGAAAGCAAGACTTGTGTGCTCAGTAATGGATGAAGATGGAACAGAAACATATTTTGATGAACTAGGTATGACAATAAAGTCCCTTAAAAGTTTTATCTAAATCTTGCACCCTATGCATATTTAATTATTTATATTTGTATAGCTCCTTAGTCAAGTTGTTGACAGTGAAATCTTGTCTCTGTAGAAATTCATGACAAAATTCTCCTTGCAGTTTTCTGACAAGAAATGAAAAAAATTCTTCATAAATCTCTCTGGGTAATTATCATTATCTTTGAAATAAAATTAATTAATCTTGACTATGTAAAGGAATTATATATGTAAATAATTAAAAATTGGAAGGGAAACCTATTGTTATTTTGCCCCTAGTTAGGATTATGATAAAGGTTTTTTAATATGCATCTCTCTGAAACTGTTTCTTACACCACTATGTAACACACTGCTTTTCCACTATACGTTTTTTCTTCTTTGATCACTGGGTGGAGACCTCAATTTGATAGTTCAAGATAATACAAATAAATCCTGATACTAGCACCAGCAATAATATTATGAATAAATAGAACTTCCCAGGATTCATTCAGGCACTTAGATTTTCAGTTCAACATGTGAAACACTGGAAATATTCAGTGAGTAATCTATATAGCAGTCACAAGAGATTTCCTTTTGTTAAGGAATTAAAAGATGCATATCTTGATACTTAAGTGCCAGACAATATTATCAGAAAGTTTCAAATTCTATGTTGTCCACAGCTGTGATGCAAACAGTCATAGTTCTAAATTTTGGTATTAGAAGATTCAGTTTATGTATTAATATAAAAATACCGCTATAAATGTAAGTATAAATAATATAAATAGCTAATGGACCCCACACTGGGGTGCATCTGATTCTGACCTCTCCATTGTAATCTCTCTCTCTGTCATTATTCCTGATTCTCATCATAGCAAATGGAATTTGGCGTCTTTTTGACTTTATATCTTTACAATTATTTGGTGTACTTGCTTTGGTTCAAGGTTTCAGTGGAACCTGATGGGCCTAGGAGTGGATCCTAACTTGCTGTAACTCTAAATGTGCAAGGTGCTTGGAGGAAGGACTTTCAGAAGTGCCTCTTAGCACTGCCACAGCAACTTATTTTTCAGAACTGTGATTTACCAGCCCACTCCTTTTCAACAAAGCAGTAGGATAACTGCTTTTAGTTTTCTGTATGACAAAATGTAGGGCCATACAGAATAGGAGACAATGTTCTCAGCCTGGGCTCCCAGCACAGTCTGCTAGCAAATAGGAAGAATACAAACACAGCTGGAAATGCAGAAAACTGGGAGAGCACAAGCACATGCTTCTGTTTTCATGTACAATGCAGAATTTCCAGTTCTGGATGGTGAAGTCTTCTGCTTATGACATATTTAAAATACTATTTAAAAAATTCAGGGGGTTAAATGAGGGAGCCACATAAATGAATGGAAAGCTAAAGAACATATTCTGTGATAAAAAGGTAAAACAGTGCAGTCCTTTTGTGTGTTGTAAAATAAGTTTAAGAGGTGTCTTGATTATAGTTATTAAAAACATTTGTAAGGAGAAACCGTCAGAGATTAAAGTATTTTTCACTGAAGTATAAAAAAAACTGAACAGATCAGAGGTAACGTTGGGCAAATTCAGTTCAGTGAGTAGCTACAGTTTTGCATAATATAGTCAATAAATCCCTACACAATGGGAGCTGGGAGGTTTATATCCCTCAGTGTCTTCACTGCAAAGTTGAGGGCATCTAGAGTGCATGCTGGACAATAAAACACTTGATTGTCCTGCTTTGGATTACATTCATCTATAGGAACTCTTCGTCTTTGACCTACTGCGGCTTAAATGTTTGCCTACTGTTAAACAACCTGCTGAAACAAGATCCAGCTGAGAGAAATGTGTGACATGGATCCTGAATATATTTGAAAATCTTTGCCTTCTATCTTCATAAGGCTAGATGGCCTGGAGTTAATTTCCAAACCTGTTTCTGAATGCTTAAATGCTAATTTATGCGTATGGTCCATTCATACAGTAAGTCTGCTTTTTCCTATTCATGTCTGAGACAAAACTACTGGTGACTTCAAAGCAGGAAAAATGTCATAAATTAAACTGCAAAATAAAGTTTTTACTAGTATTCAAAACGTTTCTTTTTCCTTTTCTTTCTTACAGAGGATGTGTTTCTTCTAGAGACAGATAACCCCAGAACAACACTTGTGTATGGAATTTTTACAACATCAAGGTAAATCGGGAGATTTGAAAAAAAATGCCTTTCTGAACAGCTCAGTTTTCTGTATGAAAACTGAAAGTGATGCCTTGTGGTCAAGGCTGTTCTGTGCACTTTCGTATGTCTGCTGTGGCCATCGTTTGCATGCAGGAGTAACAGTCTCAATATCATTCCTGTGGGTATCCATGTTAGAGCTATGCCACTTGGAGCAAGCGGCTCCCTCAAATACTGTCAGCTGGCACTGAGAAAACATTTCTGTGGAGGGCCACTTGTTACCGTTCAGCGGCAGAAAGTTCAATGCAGTGAACTCATGTGACATCTGAGAGCACTTAACACCTCCTGAAGGACATCCAGCACCCTGAAGGATCAAACTGGGAATTCTTACGTGAATTCATACAAATCATTCCCAGTCTGTCAGCTGGCAGATGATTGCACAGATGGCAAATAACCCATGTCAGCTTCAGTCGGCTACGAAAAGACAAATTTGTATGGCATTTGATCACCTCCTTGCAGCCTTAAGTTTCCTCTTACCAGTCAGTAGTATTTACTTACCGTCCAGTTTAGAAAGCATTAAGTGAGCTCCCAAGGCCAGTGGAAGTACTAGATATGGCTTACTATGCTGCAACTCTCCAGAAAGATAGACTAACAGGCAGATCAACATTCTGCCATCTCTACCTTTATCTTTTTCACTTTTCTCTTGCCCTCACTACACAGTGGTAGTATACAGAGTAGTTTAACGATATAAAAAGTATACAAAGTTACTGTTTACCGATTTCTGATCTACTACCCTGTATTATTTAGCTGTTATTACTTATCTTCAAAGAGGTTTTATGTGGGTTTTTTTTAATTTCATTTAATTTATTTGATCGAAATAGCAAATTATTTATCTTACTACTAATAATTCCTTTAATAGCAATTTCTAGTAAAAAAAGCCTTGTGTGAAAAAATATTTTTTCCTGATACACTTTTCTCTCTGTTTTCATGTGGATCCAAGGATCTGCTTTCTCAAACAAGTGAATCAGCCAGGAAAATATGATTTTATGATATTTAATTGGCAAAAAAAGAATCCCATAACTTGTAAACATCTGATGCTGCCTACATTTTATTATTCCTACTACACAAAAAGAGAAAATGCTGAGGTTATGTTTAGCAGTAAAACCACACTTATGATTAGGTTGTGGATGCAACATGCCTGAACTGGAAACACTTTTACCTAATTCTCCTGGTATTCCTGCAGTGGAAATAAGCTTTGAATCACAGGACCATATAAGGTGACAAGAGAAAACTTCACTTTTTCCTGGCTCTCAAGCTGTTTCCTCTCTCTTTTGAAGCTTTTACACTCATGCATTTCTATTATGAACCACATGGTCTACACTTACGTTCTCTTTGCTCAACTATAGATTGAATTTGTTATCTAAATACAGCAATTGTAAGGATTTTTCCTCCTTAACAGTTCCTTTATCTTTGCTGCTGTAGATGTCAAACTCATTAGAGTAGCAAGAGAGAAACATCCCAGCAAATGAGAACTATTAGTATTATCATCTAAACCATACAGAGGGAAACCAAGTAATATTGAAGCAAATTATTTTAGTGTCATAATCTGCTGTACATCTAACGTAAAGCATCTGGAAAGACTAAATAAATTTCTTAAAACCTATTAATGCCTATTAAAATTTCCACAAATACCATAGTTGATCTAAAAGGTTCCTCCTACTAATACATATAAAGCTGCGAGCAATGTGGATTGCGCTTTCCTTGTTTAGACACTATATAAAATGTTTTCAGGTTTTTTTCTGCAGTGGATTTTTTTCCTTCTTCAGTTGAAAACAGAGTTACTTGCATTATCTTCATCCTACAGTTAACATCGGGCAGATTTTAGACTGTCTGGAGTTTCCACTATGTTAAAATAAATATCTCAAACCTTACATGCAGTGAGAGAATAAAAAGGAGTTAGTTCACTGCAGTCAGCCCTAGCATCACTCTGGAAATTATTCCCCTAGTGCCCTTCATCATCATGGGGTGATGGAGGCCACTCAGGATATGTGCTTTCTGAGACCACCTGAGACCGTTGCTGAACCCAGAGCAGTGGAAAAAACATTTCTGTCTCATAGGTGACCCCCCAGTTCTCCTCAGGCAGCATCAAACTTCAACCCTCTTGAAAGGGTCTTTGTGAGACCAGTTTTGTGGGTGGTTTTGAGGACTGTACAGGAGTAACTCCTTTACAGCCACAACATGTCCCCATTTTCCTTAGAAAAGCTGGCAACTGATTGTGATAATCTATCCAATTATAATTGCACTGGATGGTTTGATTGCTATTTTAGCCATATATTTTAGGAGACTTATAGGGGTCTTGTGGTTAATGTACCAGTAGAGAGTTCTGGAAACCTGCGCTGAGCTTGGCAGCAAGTTTATAAAACTCTTGTCTCACTGAAGTCAGCAATATTTTTGCCATTGATCTAACTGGGGCCAGAATATATTTATTTTATATCCAACATTAGGAAGTTTTCTTATTCCACCAGTAGGTAGAACCTTCCTCCCTCTTTTTTTTTTCATTTCACTGTTCAGAAAGGTGTTAGGTGTTAAAGATTAATGGTGTATATTAGGAAGCTAGATTAGTTGATCTTAAATGTATTAAGTCCACACCATAGAAGCATTAAATTCTATTAAATATATTATTTAGAGGGATCTTTCATCATTGGACCATGCAAAATGATGGAAAATCTATACAAAAGTTGGTAGATTGCAATATTAACATTTTCATACTGTCTTCCAGCTCCATATTTAAAGGCTCAGCTGTGTGTGTTTATCATCTATCTGACATCCAGACTGTGTTCAATGGGCCGTTTGCACACAAGGAGGGCCCAAACCACCAGCTGATTCCATATCAGGGCAGAATTCCGTACCCGCGACCTGGCACCGTAAGTAAAAAGATGTTTATGCAGGATTGCCAATTACTTGTCTTTGTTTAATACATAAATAAATATTATTTATACTAGGAGAATGGACTATATGTGACTGTGACACTTAAGAGTTCAGAACAATTTAATTTGTTTCTCAGCTTGCCATGCAAATCACATAGTATCCGGAAATCTAGAAAGAATTAAGTCATGGAAAATGTTTATCACTCTTGCTCTTTCTGCTGAGAAGGTGGTAAGAATTATTTCATTAGATGACAATCATCTTTTTTACAAGTATATTTGCATATTGTGTGTATGTTTGAGCAAAAGATAGCTAAATAAATAAGCATACAAAGACAGCATTGTGAGTGTGTTCTACAGTCTGGATCCAAATGTCTGTAAGTCTGTCTTCAGTCTGTATGAATTTTCCATCGTTCTCTAAAATTTTGCAGCTCTGCTGGGATGCTTGGGAGAAGTAGGAGGAGAACAAGGCTTCTGGGACTTGTCATTTCACTAGGTCTAATAAGTTGTCAGGTACTGAATCTTAGAAGAGAGACCTAGAAATAGATGAGTTTTCATGCCAATCAGTTCATAATATTTCTCCTTGTTGAGAATGCTTTTTGTATGCCTTGAAATTTTTTCAGGACTTTCGTTCACGGTATCAGGGGTAGTAATAGCCTTCCAATAAATTCTGTACACCGTTCGAGCTAGCTCTGTTTCCAAGTTTTACAAAAATGTCTCATGAAAGATTTTAAACACTTATTTGCACTAGTGTTAATTTACATTCAGCAGAAGTATGAAGTCTAATATTTCCAGCTTTAATCAAGAATGTATGATCTCTCTCTAGAATTTTCTCTAAATCCATATTTGCTAAATGAAGTATGGTAGTGTGGACTTTTGTTGAGTTCTATGAAGTCTTCTTACAATTTCTTGAATATCAGAATTAAATAAGTATGCACAGAATCATAAATTGTCTCTGAACAGTGTAGGGTTTTTTTTAGATGAACATTTTGCTACTTTTCTGTTTATCACAGGATATTAAATTTTGTTTTAATTTTGCAAATCTGCAAAAACTTTTAACAATATGACTATGTCATTCATATTCATCTTTGTACTGTAGATCTTGTTCTTTCTTTCTCTTTCTGTCTTGTACACTAATACTCAGATACATGGAATAACTCTCCCTGTTCACACAATTCTCCATGACATTTTAGTTCAGTTATTACTGGCTATAAGATTTAGGACTTTACATTCCCAGATCTCTAGAATTAGCTAATCAATACCTGATATTCCACTATGGTCTAATGCTAGTATTATTCTTTCTTTGCAATTAATTCATAGAGCTCTAACCTCAAGAGTTCACTGAGACTTTAAGCTGTAACTTCACAAAAAAAAAAAAAAAAAAAAAAAAAAAAAAAAGGCCCATTTAAACAGGAAGTTTCTCGCTTTTGTGATTAGTCACATTTCAGAGTTTATTTCTGCTTTGGAATATTGTATTTATATGTGTTTCCTCAACCACTGCCATATTATTCTTAGTTTGCCTCATGGAGGCTTATGAGGCATTCCAGATGTGCCTAAAGAAATTAGTCAGCACAATGGAAGGGAAAAAAAAAATTCAGGTTTGGATTTAACATGGTGACAGAAATGATCTACATTTTTCAGATGTGCCGATGAGCTCTGAAGATAAATTCTTAGACCATAGCTTACACAAAAAAAAAAAAAAAAAAAAAAAAAAAAAGACGAAAGAGATTCTTTTAAGATGATCATTGCTGGTTTTCTGATCACTGACTTTTCTGTGCTTCCTCACAATTCAGGCACAACACAGTATCTTAAAGGTATATTTTCTAAGCTGGGACTTGTTTGGCTTTGCTTTTATTCCACTGCCAAAAAGTTTCACTTTTGAATGTATGCCACAAACTCTATTTTCACTTACATCAAGGCATCTGTAAAAATCAGGACATAGGGAATATTTTTCTGCTCATAATTTCAGTTCACAGGGTTAAATTTGAATAGCCACACTTGCAGACTATGGAGCATGAACCTCTTTCCTCTGGAACGCAGGGTTTTTGCAACTTCTGGGATGCTGTGCTAGACAGGGATGCCTTTTTATATGACATGGAAAATCCTACTTTACAGTTGCCTAAAGAGATACTCATACTAAACCTCCGGACAGAAATGGATGGTCATTGTGTCACAGTACATTGTATAAACAGTGAAAAGCCTTCGGAGTAGCTTCAGTAGGATTACAGCAATACATTCTTTTGGCCATAATCAACTCTGCAGTGTTTGGCTGCCCTTCACTAAATACCAATGGTTTCTTATTTCTCCACAAGCAAAACTTTCTTATGGAAAAAAGAAAGGGAAAAAAAATTACATAATTGGCAGCTTGCTACTAAATTCAGTGATGTTTGAGGATAGTTTCCATTTTTCAGAGCTTACAGAAATAGGATTTGTACCTACAGCATGTTGGAGAATACACTGTAAATTAAAGAACTCTGTTTCTCTCTGCAATCTAACTTCATGGTGATCAACTGTGAATGTAAGTATCGTGTAGCCAACTTCTTGAATGAGGTGTGAAGGATACACATTCAATCCTTCCAGGAAAGGGAGAGCTTATAGGTTCTTCAGTAACATCTTTTGCTTGTCATTGGTTTATACAGGGGATAGCAAAAGAATTAATTGATTAAAGATGTTTGTAAAGGCTTTGCTCAGAATGATATAATGTAAGTTTTTAGGATCATACTGGGGTGAACCGTAGCACAGACATTTTTTCAGGAAGTCACAAACAAAGGTCTTATGATCTCCAGGTCAAGAGTGGAAGGGTAGAAAGCGTCAGAGAAAGTCTTTTAACTGAGCTATATGGGACAGAAAAGTTTAATTCGAACTGCTTGTGAAACAGAATTGCTCTGGAGAGGAACGGGGGTCTGGCAGATCACCACCAAGTAGAATAGTCTTGCTAATAGCCCACGAATTTATGAACACAGTTCTTTCTTCAGCATTTGTTGCTAATCTTATCAGAGAGCTCCATACATTTCCTGGAAGACTGTAGATGGGAGTGCCACAAAGAGAAAGAGTAGAGCAAACTTGATCATAAGAAATCAATTTTCTGAGCAGTCTTAGAAGGCTAGCATGTAGTGTCATTTCTAATAAGAACCAACCCAAAACCTTCAGGATAAATAAGTCCAGAAGAATCAATTGTCAAGCATGTCAGATGAGGAAAGAGACTTATATCTGAGCTAAGTTCCACCACTTCTTCGTGAAGGTAACCGATGCCAGAGCAGCTTCTTTTAAAGAATTCCCACCAGAGCTGTTCTACTTTGTATAAATAATTAAATCCTAATTGAGCTAGAAGATTATTCTAAAACCTGGGATTAGGCTGCAGTCCCCTCTGCACTTGGTTCCTGGTATTGCCCGATGAATAGTTTATTAGGTGCACAAGATGGAACAGCTTTTAGCTGCGAGGGCAGAACAGGCACTCCTGCCTGGTGGTTAGAGGGATCCCCTGGGAGATGAAGACCCAGATTCTAACATTTGCTCACATCAGGTAGGTTGGACACATGACTCATATATCCCCAGTGAGTTTCCTAGTCTCTCAGAGTATGATTCATTTTATGTAATTTTAGACATCTAAAAGCAGGGTATCTAGTTTGAATTACTGACTACAGCGGAAACCTAGATGGCTAACTAAGAATAAATGCCTGACTTTGAGACAGTAGAAGTCAGGTGAGGTAAATGTCTCCCTAAGCTGCCAGCTATTTCTCTGTCTGTGGATTTGACCAGAAATTCCATCCTAGACGTAAGAATGGTCCTCATCAAAATAAGCAAATTTCCATGAAATGCTTCATATTGAACAAATCAACATTTTCCAATTGGAAAAATACTGTGTTGAAACATTTCTGAATAGCTCTAATACTCCGAGGGGTGTTTCACAGCTTGGAAATCTGGTGAGGGGGCAGGGGTAATGAAAGCTCAGGAGCAGCCATAAGAAATGAGGCAATGGTAGCTGAAAAAAAGTCATATAAATTAACATAGGTACATCCAGAACTTTGTACCAGTTACTGACATAGCACCTGATTTCTTCCCAGTCTTTTAGTTTCACTCTCAGTAAATGAGTTTTCTAAGATTGCTTTTATTTCCTCATGAGGTACAAAATGCCTCAGGGCTGAGTATCTGAATGGTTCTTCACTACATTTAAAGAAGCATCCAGAGAATTTCAGGACCTCTGTTGTTTCTTGGGCATAGGGGAAAGTGTAGACAAGATCCTGTGAGTGGTCAGTCAAGTCAGATATAAATGAGTTGTCATGGGACCCTCTCATCAACTCCATATTATTGTTTTTTCAAATGAAGATGAGTCACAGGCCCTTTCACCATCTCATAATCGTCATAATGACTAGAGCGATATTGACCAAATTACAGTTAAGTATCAGATTTTCCTTTTGCCTTTGTGCTAGTATGGTAACAAACCAGCTGCAGAAGTTTGGTACCTTCCCATACCAATCACTTGGATTTTTTTTTTCAACAGGTAGTTTGGAAGCATAAAGAATATGGAAACAGGTCCAGAAGTATGGATCTTTGCCATCAAGCTGGGTTTTGAAAGTGCAAAAACACATTTGTGTTTGCTTTGTCGGAATTAATGGGAGTTCAAAGGGTAGCTATTCAAGTACTTCATTCCCATTACAGGAGCATAATTACTTTCAGTCAGAGTCTGAAGTGCTCTTTCGGGAACTTACTTTGTCAACTGTCTGTCAATATTTGTAAATGACTTGGAGATGGAAACTCTCTGAAAGATGGTAAGGATTGTTAAGCATTACTGTGCATGTTTCTTACAGTGTCCAGGGGGAGCCTTCACACCTAATATGCGGACAACCAAAGAGTTTCCAGACGATGTTGTGACCTTCATCAGGAATCACCCTTTGATGTTTAATCCCATTTACCCAATACACAAAAGGCCACTAATCGTCCGGATAGGAGCCGACTACAAGTACACAAAGATTGCTGTGGATCGAGTGAATGCTGCTGATGGAAGATATCACGTCTTATTTCTTGGAACAGGTAAGACAAACTTAGCAACAGTCGTTTTCCTCCATTGCATTGGAATTTGCAATCAACTCCAATTTGTACAACTTACAGCTTTCAGAAACATTGTTGAAACATATTTGCTGTCTAGAAAAATGTCTACAGAAATCCATAAATTAAGTTTTTACTTTCTGTGCATTTTTATGTTTGCTATAGACGTTAACTATATGCAAGAGATATAATGTATTCATATGAATTTTGAGACAGAATTCAACACTAGTATGTATTGTATTTGATCTAAGTTGTAATAGTTCTCTTGAATATCGGTTGTCTGCAATATGATTCCGGATTAGAATTTGGTGCTCTGTAACGTGAGTAAAAATACCAAAATCTGGCTTTGTATTGTTTTGTATATTCTTATCATCGTTATTTAATATGTGCTGTGTAAGCTATTCTGAAGAAAAACACAATCTTATCAGGATGTTACCAAGGCAGAAATAACAACTCCATCAAAAAAAAAGTAAAAATATGGAAGTACTTATCAGAGAAAAAGAAGCAAATGGTTGGAGTCCTAGCAGTAGTGGACACAGAGAATTTGATCCAAGTATTCTAAAATAATTTCTGTCTAATATAACCTACATTTTGTTTTTAGTTACATCAAATTTGAATCCGGTGTTATGCTTCTGAAATATACAGGGAACAGGTCAAGTGATTCTCATACTGATCTATTTTGATTTTTTAAAATATTCAGATATGAATCACACTCTTCTGATTCAAGCAGACAAGCATAGTGGTACTCTGGCTAGACCCTAGGATTCATTCACATCTGAAACTCCCGCTAGCTTAACAGGGCATTATAGGTCAATAGACACAAAGGCTAATCTTTTTTTACTACAGATGGTTTCAAGTAGAACAAAGGAAAAGAACTTCAGGAGAACCAATACATCTCTGAACATCAGAAAATAATTACAGAGATGACTTGCATTGTTTTTATGGTTCACATATTATTGGGGTCCTGGTTGTTTTCTGCTTGTAGAATAATGGTGTCTGCCAACAAACTCTCATGGGTCTGGGAATAACCATCCTGTCATAATAGATTTAGGAAGCTGGTGTTAAAAAATCTCTCAAGAATGTCAGGCTTCTATATGGGCAATATTAAAAGGAACTCTCTTCACTTTCTTAGAAAAACCTCCCTAACTATCAAAATCAGCAGGGTGCCCTTGTGCCAAAGGAGACCAACTGCATACTATGCTATATTAGCAGAAGTGTATCCAGCCAGCAGGTTGCTGGAAGGGATTCTTCCCCTGTGTTCGGCTCCTGTGTCCAGTCGGGTGCTACCCAGTACAATGAAAATATTGACCCAGTACAAGGAAAACATTGACCTACGGGAACAAAGTCAGTTGAAGGTTTGTAACCTGTGATGTATGAGAAGACGCTGAGAGAATTTGGTTTATTGAGAGAAAACTAAGGGGAGACCTTACTGCTGTTGACAGCTATCTAACGGGAAAAAAACAAATCTGGACTCTTCTCTAGGTGCTTGGTGTCAAGGTGAGAGGGAGTGGACACAAGTTGCAATGAGGGACATTTCAACTAGATATAAAGGCAAACATTTTTGCCATCAGTATGATCAAACATTAGAACAAGGACCCAGAGAGGCTGTGAATGCCATCATCAGAGACTCGAAGGCAACCCGACACAGCCCTGCGCAACCTGCTCTAATTGGACTTGCTTTGAGTGGGGAACTGGACTAGATGACTTCTCAAGGCCTCTTCCAGCCTACAGGCTTCTACGGTTCAGTGAAAGGAAACAGGAAAATAGAAACATTTCACTTGTGTTCTTTACCAGGTCACCATCTACTGTACTGTGAACGCTTCGTATACAGTAAAGCATAGTCAGGATAAAAGAAGTTCTGGTACATTAGGAATTTCATCAGTTCTTGTTCTGGATATTTTTGTTTTCTTTGTTGGCAGTTGATAAGTTAGTTTTAAGGCATTCTTGAAGATCTCTTTGATCCTACTTGCAGAGTCACTGGCAACTACCAAATTAAGCTAATTAAGATAGGGTTTTTCTTCTTGAAGTGGTTTTGTTTTTTTTTTTTCACCTCCCTAACATGTAACCGCATTTTCGGTTTAGTTTAATTAATGCATCTACATTGACTTTGGGACCCTTTAGGGTCATTTTCCTCCTTTCCTGCAGAAGTAAATAAAAGAGTCTTTGTACACTAGTGTAGAAATATCAGGAGTGTTAATAGATACTGTCCCTACTACTGTTATACAACTCCACAAGAAAACTTAGTAAAAGAGAAGGTTTGGTTTTCTATTAGCTTTATTTTCTGCCAAATTGCTATGTTTAGCCAGAGTAATAGCTTGGTAGGCTAGTACAGATCTTTCAAATGAATAGTTTATGCGTTTTTTTAATATAGTGGTGCCATTGTTTCAAAACGCTCTATAAACATCTAATGTTAATTGGAGGAAAATTCTACTAAAGATTAGTAGAAAAGATAAAGACACGAAAGTTTCCAACCAATGTAGGGTTGTTAATATAGCAGTGATAAATACTGGAAATATACTGAAAATTTGAAATGTGCATGAATATTGATACTTAGCATTTTAGTAATTCTGCAAGAGATAAATATAGGTAATTTCATTTTATATTTTGATTGGCTTCTGGCTGTTTTTAAGTGATCAGTGTGGCCTCACACATACACATGTGATTCATTAAAAACTTTAACATAACTCAGCTTGTTCTTACGTTTTATTAATCCTCTTCTGTGTATAAGCACAGGTTCCATTATGGATCAATGCATAAACTGCAGCTCTTGATACTTTATATTCATTGCTTTATCTTCTGCATTACACTGGAGACAAGGATCATTGTCTGCTTTGTAGTTAGTTGGAGGGGAGGCATTATTCTTCCTGAGTAGGGCACAGGACATTAATAGGTTCCAAGGTTTTCCTCAGAAGAAATTTGTGCAATGTAAGTTAGTGCATTTCTCGGCCCTTTTATTTAAAAGTGATCAAGTTTCAGCCACCGAGAGGAGAAACTTGTTTTCTTTATTCTCTGCTTTCTGTGAGACTCAGGAAGATTCGATAGAGATATTAACTGTCAAAAGGAATGCAGAGGGGATTTGCTTTGGTGTCAGTTTGTCCCAGCAAATGCAAAAACCACATTGTACAGGAGAAGTTCATGTGATAATTTCCTTGGGAGCCTGGAGCCCCACAGCCAGAGACAATGGGACTTGACACCTGGTGACAATTACGCTCAGCTCAGATGATGAGTTACTGCTGCTGAACTGAGATGTTGCCAGCCATGTCTGTCACTGTCAGTGACCTGTCTCATGCTTGAAATTGGAGTGTTTTATGTCTTGCCAGATGCAGAGCACACAAAATGTTTAGCTTTTCGTCTCTTCCTCCTCTGTAGCCTCAGTAATAAATCAGTTCCTGAATGCAAGTGAAGAATAACAGAATATAAAGCTCCAAGAACCCCAGTGGTTTTCATCATGTAGCCATAGTGTGGGACGATATAGGCAGCTGTGTCATTTTTTCACATTAATGTGGACTAAATGTTGTGTTTTCTTTGCACCCTCAGACAAAAGTGCTGAGCTCACAGGGGCTGGTCCATGCCCAGAGTTAATATGTTGCTTTTCTCCCTAGCTCGCCCCATAGCTAACAAAATAAATCCAAGGGATAGACATTGTTCTCGCAGCATTCCACCCACTTTTCAAGTGATAGCGATCCCCTGTTTTCCCTGTTCTTCAACATGAAGACTCCCGAAGAGCTTAACAAAACTTGCCAGTCTTAAGTTCACCTAAAGGGATCTCTTCACTCCGCTCTGAAAGAGGACGATTTAGAGTAAGGAGCAAGCGTTTAACGGTAGAGAGTAGTGCTACGAGAGAAGAGTGGCGTATACCACATCTTCCCAAACAGAAATGGAAAGGATAATTTATCTGGATAGAATGCAATCACTCATTTGCATATTTGAGAAGGGCAATGCTGATGACACTTTTTCATTATGGAAGGAGTAATAACATATTCAGTTCAGGAATTTAGGTTTAGGGTTCTGCTTTCATTATTCTGTTTCTCTTGTAGGTCAGGACTCAGTTCTCAAGTTTTTGATTCACCCTAGAGTTTTACTGTAATTATTCTACTCAGTTATAGCTAAAGAACTTGAGCTTTCAATATTTTCTGTTTATCCCTTGGTAGATTGTTTTCCATCTGAGTTTTAAGAACAGCTGTAAAACAGCATGAGAACATTTTCCTGAGATTAATATTTATTTTTTAAGCATGCCACCTACTGCTTGAAGTACGAAAGCCTTTGGTCAAAGTACATGCAGATTGCACAACCAAAAGATTATGCATGGTTTTTTTTATTGCTCTTGGTGCTATGAAAATATTTAAATGTCTGGGTCAAACCTGGGTACATTAAACAGCCATGGTGACCAATAGGGTTTTTTTCAACTCCTTGCTATCAAGATAGGATATGTTTTTGTGGAAAGAGATCTAAGTTACTGTTGTGAAAAGGTACTTCAGACTTCAGTGTGGCTTACTCAGATGATTAATGTGGGCCACATGCATCTGATGTGGCAAGAAGCTAACTGATGTTTCTTATTATCTTTTCTTCTCTGATGCAACTTTTGTTTTCAAAGTCTGGATGCAGTAAGTGCCTTCAGAGCATAAGTGTCCGTAATACTCATTTTCATGGTGTTACATGATGGCTGTCTTTTCCAAAAACTAGCCCTTGCTGACAACAGTAGCCTCCAGTAATGCAAGAGCCAAAATCATGTAATGGGCTACAGATTCTAACGGAGAGAGATAATCTGGTCAGAAGAACAAGTTTACCTCCCATAGATTTGCTGGCTGCAGCTTTGTGACTGTGAGCTTGGGAAGATGATGTTGCGCAAGAGCGGCACAGCAGGCAGCAGAATTTTCTTCTTCCTTGAATTTTACAAAGTTTCACAGCAATGCTATGAGATGGAAGGAAATTGCACCCATTTGACAGATGAGTGAACTAAAACACAGAGAGGTTAGGTGGCTGTGGTGGGAGCTCTGGCTTACAGCAGACACCTAAGGACAGCAGAGACTGCGGGGCCCTGCCTCTCAGCCCTGACTGCTAGCCTGCCATCATCTCAGGTTCTCTGCTGAGCCTCAACATTTTCTCAATCAGAGAGATTCTAAGCATTCTGCAAACTCTTTGCCTTCTTTTTTCTCCATATTTGTTTGCATCAGGTTCCACTCAGATTAGAGACCAAAAATAATTAAGCTGCCATTAGGCTAACAGGTACAACATGCAGAAGAGTTTTCAGAGGGTCTCCAGCAATGTCAGACACATACTGCAAGAAGCCTCTCTGTGAAACTCCTGTCAGAGTAGCAGTTGTTCTCCATTGCAGTCATTTTTTTTTATGACGTGGAAAGGTCGGTGTATTTATTTGTTGTTCTATTTGTGCATGTGGTATAGCTCAGGGGTATGTCAGTCCTGACCCTCTTTGAGGCTTGCAATACTGACAAATGCAGTGTTCACGTAGCGCTGGGGGAAGAAAAGTTAGTTGTAATTCAGAGAATGAGGTTTAAACTCAGACCTGTGGATTCAGCAAAACACCTGTGTATTTTTCATTGCTGTTCATTCAGCTTTGCCTTTTCCATTGCCCCTGGTCAGCTGGATCAGGAATTAGTGTAATCAGGCATAGTCCAACTGGTGTTGGTGAAGCTTAGCTGATTAATGCCAGCCCAGAATCATGCCTGCATTTCAAGGAACATTTTTTTAAAATTTTTGTTATTGTTATTAGTCTCTTCTTCTTCCTTCCTTGGACCATTTATTGGACTGCCTTCCTTCTCCATTTATTTCCCACTCTGCATACTATCTATACCAATTTTTAGACTACAGGATGTTAGCACTTTCCTTCCTTGCTGTTCCCTGTTTCTCAATCCTGTCAGAGGGAACATGATTTCAGTAACATTGTCTTCCATGTCAAGCTGGGAGACCTGGAGTCGTTCAAGCAGGTTTGAAACAGGAAAACATTATAAATTGCTCTTGTCCTCTTGCTGTCAATTTGAGGGAGATTCCTTCTAGTTTGTCTGTCTGCCCTCAACTCACAGACTGCTGGGCTGATGTAAGGCTACAAACAGCTCCCAGCAAAAAGTCAGGGAAGCGGTGAGCATAAATCTGCTTCTGCACTTCATGAATTGTAGTGGCTTGATATTCTGGAGACACAATAGCTTTTTTCATGACTATGTGAAATTGTAAAAATGTAGAACTGTTTTCAAGTGAATTTCTGGAAGTAACAATAAACAGCGAAAAAACTAGCCTGTTCACTTTCATGATTTTTGCAGAATTAGCATATAATTTCATACGTTATCCTAAACATGAAAAAATTTGATTTACACTCGTTTGGTGATCTCTTATACCTTGGTTACAATGCAAAAGACTATCTATTGTGAAATAGACTGGGAAACCAGCTCAGGCACTGCTACTTTGCGTGTATCTCCTGTAGTGCACAGTGCTGCATCCTTTTCAACCTTCCTTCTGACACACAGATTTAGTTTGCTGCCTTGCCATTAAAGGAAATAAGCAAATAATATTTTCAATAAACAAACAAGATTTTCAACAAAACTCTGATGTAGTATAATCTTTCTAACACGAACACGTATAAGTGACTTGATTTGTCAGCTACTGTGTTTATAGTGGAGACATCAGTATTACTGAGAAAGGAATGAGAAGTGCTTTTTAGGCACAAATATTTGCTTTTCATTTATTAAGGGAAAGGTTGAGCAACGTAGAAAAACTATTTTTAGAAGTGGTGGAGGGCTGTAGCCTATAAGCCATGTATTGTTGGAAGTATGTGTACATATATATATATATGGACAGACTATTGGTATTCCTTGCTTTAATTGATTTTATTTAATAAATAGCTTTCTGTTGCCTACTTTCCCTAACATGAATACTTATTTTAAATGTTGTATTAAGTTTCCTTTAAAACAATGGAACATTCCTTTCTGCAAGGATCTGTCCCTCACGGTACAATACTGAGTCATAGCAAATGGTAAAATATTGAGTCAAAGGGAACGAATACCAAGGTAAACAGTCCTTAACTCTGTGTATTTTGCTAGGGTGTGACAAAAAGGTAGATAGGAACCTACTTTTCAAATAGGAAAGGTTATTAGGACACAAGGACCTGGCGTCAGGCATTATCAGTATTTTCTGTGCCAATGCCCAGGATAAAATCTCCCCTCAGGTTCTGATTTCTGTTCAGGGCAGTGTTTGAGGACTGAAGACAATTTAGGAATTTTAAATGTGAGGCATGTGCTAATGGATTGTTGAAATAAACTGGTTCTTCAGAGGATCAGCAGCCTCACATTCCTTTGCAGGTAAGGTCACTGTCAACATGCTCAGTGCCCTGTATGTCAGGGTTACAGGTAGTTGACACTTTGCAGGCAGCTGAAAAAAAAAAAAACAAACCACAAAAGGCTGCAACTCCTTCCTACACTTCTGGTACAGTATTTCATATGGTATAGTTTAATGTTAGAGAGAGGACATTGATAAAAGGATGCAAAGAGTCAGAGGTAGACTGGACTTAAGCTGTGTATATTTGTGAGTGGATTATTCCCTTTAATAGGAACAGAAATGCACACACACACATATATGCACATGCTTCTTAGCTCCAACAAGGGATGCACCTGCAGCAGTTTAAAGCTTTGGTGGGTCCTGGCAGTTAGTAAATCTCTCAGGTTCTCATAGCTTTGCTAATACTGGCACCCAGTCTAGACCACAGCTGTGCTATCACAAGATTTAGTTTCAGTAAAGTTTCTTCGGAAGGAACTGTTTTATCGTGCCATTGTATAATGAGAATAAATGTTCTCCATAGAAAATTCTCATGAAAAATTCATGTATAACATGTCCTGAGCATGTACAATTGATGGCTACATATTTTTAAGTCCTGTCAGCTTCCAATTTCTCTTTTCCCTTCTTTTTTAAATGACAAAATATTGCAGTGTGCTCTCTGTGTGTGGTCAGGGCATTACATATCAATACTCTGGCTTTAAACCTTTTTTTTTTTTAAAAAAAATAAAAAATATTATTGTTTGTGGGCTTCCTCCAGGGAAATAAGATGATGTAAATTATTTACTGTAACCAACTTGCCCTGCAGCTCCAGCTATGGAATTCAGTTACTGACCTTAAAAGCAAAAGCAAAATTGCCCTTTTACAGTTGACATTATCTACGTCATGAATTGCCAAACAGGAACCTGAGATTTCCTTTCCTTGGTCACAAATTCATAATAATACATGTAGATACTTACCTATATTGTGCTATACTAATGTTTTACTAACCACACAAGTCTATATTGCTTATAAAACTTTTGAAGGCAGAACAGAATCTGTACCATGTGGTCACATTCCTCAGAATCAATATTGAGCAAATAAATTTATTCTACTCAGACTAACTTCCAGGCATTTCAGGCAAGAGGAATTCTATGTGCTGTGCTTTTTTCAAGTAAAAATGCTTGTCCTTGTGATTCTCCCACAGTCTGTCTTTTCTGCCACATCAGAAATACTTCAGCAGCTGTCTCAGCGTTTAAGATCCTTCTCAGATGGACCCCTCCATCTCATATATTTATTCCACATAACAAACTTGGAAAACAAATCACAAATATCCCTTTAGTGTCACTCATCATATCTAATATGCAAAAACACTGCCATTGCCCCATTCTTCTTTCTCCTTTGATCTGAATGGATTTGGGCAGCTTGTGATGGTATTTTGAGAGGGCAGCCATGATAGAGTAGCTACAATATCTTCACCTTGCTTTTTCATCTTTCCTTATGGACCAAAATATTAACTTCTACCAATATGTAACAGACTTGATTATTGTTTGACTTTTCTAAAAAAAAAAAGCTTCATTTTACTTTGTTTAGGTATAGATAGTGTTATTCTTTGGAAGGTTTACCTATCATGTCATCTTTTGTCATTATGTTTTGTTACTGAATATGAATATATACTAAATTCTGCAGTAGCTCCCTTTTACCTGTTTATATTGCTGTGTTTTTACTTTAAGATCATTAGGACAGATACTGCCTCTGTCTGTGTGTCTGTACAGGAACTATTACAGAAGATACTGATTTTGATTGATCTTTTGGGTAGTAACTCCAATCCTACCGTGACTTCTTCACTTTCATGTATATAAAATATACAGTATTCCTATATAAGGAATCATCTCATGGTTCTTTCTGACCCCAAACCCTAGAAATTACTGGAGATTTCTTACCTTTCTCTATGTCATAGTGCTTGTTTTGATGGTTTCTTTTCATAATTGGTAATTGCTTTTTTCTTTCTCTCCCTCTCACATGGTTTCACTTTTTCTCATCTATCCAGATCAAGGAACTGTACAAAAAGTTGTTGTCCTACCCACCAACTTCTCTGCAAGTGGAGAACTCATTTTAGAAGAGCTGGAGGTTTTTCAGGTTTGGCTTGCTCCTACTTTTACTCTTCCAATGTGTATGTTCACACAGACATTTTGTTCTAAGAGACTTTGGCAAGGGCAACTGTGACTTTATAAAAGATCAAATAAATGTGCATACTGTCAGCTTGATACCTACCCAAAGAGCAATATAAAATGCCCACTCTTATGAAGGCTGTAGCTAGCTTAATTCTTTTTTTTTTTTTCCCCTATTATTTAAGTTGCTTATTTTTTATGTTGTTATACTGGTTAGAAGGACTTTGAGAATCACTTTTTTACAAGGTTGTGTTAAAATGTCTGCCAGAAGGCAATTTTTATCATTGGCATCATGTATTGAGACTGTCACTATTTACAGACAGAATCTAAGATTTTTGTACTTCTTTGATTATCTGTAAGTCTTGCTGATCGTGAGCTGCAGAATGGAAGCGAACTAGCGTTGCATTTGCTTAACTCCAGTTCTTCAAAGCCACATGCCTCTGGAGTCAAGAAAGCTAAAAGCTTAACACAACATAAGCTGAAACGAAATGCAAACAACTACAGGGAGAAATAAGGGAATAACCTCTGTCAGTCACTCTGGCATGTAGCAGCTTCTAATAACCTAAAGAAAATGTTTACCCTCATGTTGAAAAATCCCTTTCAAATTTTTGAATGGGCTATTCTTTATACAGGTAGTCTTGGGGCAAATGGCAGTATGCATCTATAAACTCAGTTAAGGGTTTTGTCATAGGCTTTTCTCTATTGCATTGAGGGATACAAAGAGGAAAATGTAAGCTTTTTTATCTAGACAGGCAGCATTAACAATTTCTTTAAGAAAAAGAATACACTCTGTGTTAACCCTCATAAAGGCATAATCAGTCTTTCAAGGCTTTTGTTGAAGACTTCCCTTTAAAAAAGATATATGTGAGTAATATTACCTAGAGAGTACCCTTCACCTAAGTATTACTAATTTCATTTAATGAAATGTAAATTGATACAGTGAGAAGATAGGTGGGCTGAGAGGAATTCTCACCCTAAAACTATTTTCTGGGCCTCTGTGCACAGTTTTTTATCCTGAAGCCTAAAAATAATGTTTTTGTAGCCTCTACCATTGCAGTCTGTGCAGGCAACATGGCAGTATTTTGGTGAGTTTCTCCAAGAGAGAGGGCATGAGATCACTGTCTCTGTGCTAGTAAATATTGAGATTAAGCAAAGCACTGATTCCTTTCCAGAGTATAAGCAAGAAAAGGAGAATGTGGCATCAGATCCAGTGTTGCTTTGACCTTGAGTGTCCAGAGAGATCATGAAATATTACATCAGCTCTAAACTCCTTCAAACCTTTGCCAATTCACATGATTTGCAGCCAGTTTTTCTAGTCCTAGCCTCCCTGCTCTGCTTGTAGTCCACTGCAATTAATCCTAGCCCACTGCTATGGCTTTCCTTTGTGACTGAGCAAATGCTAAATCTTAAAAAATGCTGAACACTTTTATTACCATCAGTTTTATCATTTGTTTGGATGAGAATAATGAATTGCTTCTCTTCCTTAAGGCAATGAATGTGATAATTCCTTTTCCAGCTCTAACGTTTGGTTTGGACATAGTAAACGACTGCAGTGATGACACACAGTAGTATACAGTACTGTCTCTGGGAAAGAATCATTCAATAACACACATTCCATTTTTAATATTCTAGTCATTGATAATCTAATGTATATGTTGGATGGTAACCAAACTGTATGCATGTAGATAATGTGTAGGAGAAATATAACACATTCTTATCTGGATCATGTGGTAAATATGCATGAGCTATTGTATGTTTTTTCCTTATCATTGTCATCAAAGAACAAATATTGTTTCTTATTACAAAATGAGAGTAATGGCTTCAAAACACATTGTTCCTATATTGTTGAGGTAAAACAGATGCAGGTTAATTGAAAGTGTACAAAAACATGTTGATGCACATGAGTAATAATATTGCAGTTGAGTTTAGCCAATACATTCATTGTCTACATGTCATTTGTTTAGTTCTGAAAATAGCAAAAAAAATAGTAGGACTGAGTGATGCATTTCCAAGATATGAAAAGTTATAGTTTTCTTAGATACGATTTAGGTTTTTTTGAATTTTAAATTTTAATATTGGGACAGTATTAAGAAGAGAGTCCTTGTAAGTGTGGTCTGGAATTTTGTCTTTCAGAGTAATTCTCCTATAACAACAATGAAGATTTCATCTAAAAAGGTAAAGTGGAATGCTTACTTAGTGCTTATTAATTGAGAAGAAAATTTACTTAAAGATGTTAGAATATCAGTTGTTGTGCAGCACACTAAATATAGGCAGATTTTCTATAACGAATATGGAGAAACTTCACTGAAGCTTGCATGGGCTGTTTATATGCCCCAAAGACACTAAGATGAAACAATTTCTATTCATTATGTATCATTTCTAATTCACTGAAAGTGTCCTTTTTTTTGTTGTTTTGCTTGACAATTAAGGAAAAAAAATAATAAAAGAGGAAATTTGCCCTCCCTTTTTTTTCTACAAGTCCTAAATAGAAATTTTCCCTTGGAAGTCTAATCAATGCAAAAAGGCAGTGTTGGGGCTGTTGGGTCCGTGGTGCAATTGTGTGTGTTTGTTTATTAGTAATAAACAATGGCAATAAGAAAGGTGAAAACAACTGAGAGGATTTCTGCTAAAATGTTCAACACCCAAACTAAAAATATATATTCCATCATTCTGCAAGAACCATGTTGCTCAATATTTTGCAAAACTACTAGTAATTAAACATTATTCACTAAATGCAATTCAGTGTAATTTTTTAGTTTTATGACAAACAGGTCAGGAGAGTTTCAAGGTTTCTGTTTGATAATCATTTATGTTTTAGCATAAATGAGTAATTGTTTCTTAATAAAACAGTCATATTGGCCCAGATTTTGGTGATGACCTATTCACTTTGAACTTCTTTTGCAAAAGTTCCCATTTATTATGAAAGTTCTTTTGGCTTATTTTTCCAGGTATATAAGGTTATCAGAATGTGGCGCTAAGCCTCAACATAATCTCCAGGTTTTATGTCTTGGAAATCTATGCACTGGAGAATCCAAGTTGGAACTCTGCATAATATTTATTAAAGTGACTATAAGCAGAGAAAATACTCAGTTCAAAGGCTTGAGCCAATGATCATCACTGAATAAGAACCAAGTTCTCAAATCTGAGCAATATTAACTCAGCCTGTCTGCCCCAGAACAGAACAATGACACTCAATGTCCAAAATCTTTAACATTCCTCAGTGTTTCTAAGTGTTTTTTAACAGGAAGGTGGAAATATTATAGGCCTATTCACCTGGGAGATTTCTGTTTATCTTGGCTTTATGTATATTAATGGCTCCCCTCTTGGTCTTGAGTTAATTCCGAAATAAATTGAAAGGTTTTTAGCTGTGTTAGCCGAGTCGCAGGTGAAGCTCCACATCTGAAAGAAATCTTTGCGTTTCCTTCTACAGCAACAGTTGTACGTGAGCTCAGATGAAGGGGTCACCCAGGTATCCTTGCATCGCTGCCACATCTACGGGACCGCCTGCGCTGACTGCTGCCTAGCCCGAGATCCATACTGTGCCTGGGATGGCAACTCCTGCTCCAGGTTTTATCCCACAGGGAAAAGGTGAGAGGTATTAAGCAGCCTAGTGAAGTCTGCCAGGAAAGGCGGCTTTTGTTCTGCTATGTAGCCTGAGGTATTATAATGTGATGGAGAAGTGGGATGTCATTCCTTTCAGGAGCATGTACGAACAATACCTCCATAGCTATTGTGCTTGGCATTGTTCATCACCTAGGAGTGTATGCTGCAGGAGTGTATGATAATAACAGCTTGCCTTTACATATTTAAAGTAATGGACTGAAAAAAAAAAACCCACAAAACATTCCTAATCATAAATGTTAATCCTTCTGTGCACACAAAATCAGTGAAACATTTGTTCACTTTGTTTAAATTCAGTTGCTCACTATGGATGTAATTATGATAACCCTAAATACAGCAAAATATCTCTTGGACAGTCTGAGGAATAAAGTAATTTATTTTCTTTTGTTTCTCATTTGCTCCTAAGTGAGAAGAATTATTTCCAGGGAAATTTTAGGCAAATGTGATTTCCAATGTAATGCCTGCAGATTTGGGGGTTTTGACATGAGATTTATTAAAGCAGACAGGAAAAGCAATTTCTCTTTAATTTACAACAAAGCTAATAGCCCATCTCATAATTCTTATGCAAAACAGGAGCCTCTTTCCTCCTCCCAGGGGAAATATTTAATAACAGGAGGCTGTAGAGCTCTTGTATTACTAAGATTTCACTTCATATACAAACAAAGCTACAGAATACACAATGAGGTGTTACTGCAGAGGAAAGAAATGTTTCAGATGTATGCCAGAGCTTTACCCACTGTGTGCCACTGTGCTCGTTGCCTGCACCTGAGCTGCAGATGCAGAAGAGGAGATACAGTTTATGGGCTTTACTCCTTTACCTACATGGAGGGAGACAGTAGAGAGAAACAGGCAAAGCTTGGCTCTGCTCCAGTGACCCATTGTCAGCTGATGACAATGTCATCCCCTGGGGTTAAGGGCAATTACTTTTGTTACTGTAAATTTTCTTGACTCATTCCTTATTTGAGATTAAAAGGCAAAGCACAACTGGGCCATGAGGCAATTGGTAAAGTACCTTGGGTTTTTACTGCTTTCACTCAGCATATTCAGCCTCCAGTCTGCAAACTGATTGTTTTCTTCAATGGAACAAAGGTCAGAAGACAGGGGGAGGAAAGAAAAGAAAAATCAATCCCCGAGTCTCAGGCCACCTAACTCCTACACTAACACAGCTGCCAAAAGCTATAATGAGCAGTCAGGTATACCCAGTCTGTGCAGTTTCCCGTGGATTTCTTGCCATCCCCATTATGTACGCCCAGGTTTATTTCCACTGGGGCTTGCTTTCATGCTGACATTTTGTTTGCAATTTGCTTTTTATATCAAACCAAAATAAATACCTAGAACTGTATGGAAAAAAAATCTGGTTTTCATATATGAAGGAAATGAGTTGTCTCTTTATCTAACAAGAGAGATTATGAAGGAGAAAACATTGGTAATTAGAGCCAAATCCCATAGTCTAGACAGTAGTATCTGCTGGACACATTTGCTTATTTCCTTCTTTTGACAATTTGTCTCCCATGGATTACTGTGATTCCTCATCCAACATTGATTCACCTCAAAACACCTGACAGTATTATCTTTATATTCTAACCACCACCTTCTCAACCTTTTTTTTATAAATATCAAACTAAGTTTACATTCTCAGAACTGCTTAATGCAAGCAGCGTACCATTTCTGACAGTATGGAGCGGCTCAAGGTAGCACAGGAATCCTGAAATTTACTCAGAATGTCTCCTTTGACTCACATAAATAGTTCACAAGGGTTAAGATCCCGAGGCATAAGATGAAATATTTTTGATGGTAAACATCAAAAATATACTTGGAATGTCAGAAATTACTCCTTTGAAACATCACCTTTCAAACGTTTCCTTTTAAGACAATGCCATGAAGGATCAGGTGACATGGGATTATAAACAGTCTCTGGTTGTTTGTGCAGCACCTGGTATAATGTGGCCATAGAGACATCACCCTTCACTCAGTGGTGCTGGAGCTCCAGGAGCTTTTTATGGTTTCTGAACTTGCAAGTCATTAGTGCATAGTTTAGAATGCAGTTGTTACATATCCCAGCAGCATCCGTTTGCAACAATCTATCACTAATATATATTTTTTTTGAACTTGAGAAATATTGAACTAAGTTACAGAATATATGGCAAACAAAATACTATATCTTAAGAACAAAGAATTCATGTACCAGCTTTTCATGCACTGAATTCTGCGAGCTATGACCTCCTAGCTGAGGAGAACTGAAATGCCAGTATTCCAAATCCCGGTAAGCTCCCTAACTGATTTCCTACAGAATCATGACTTTGCATCTGTCATCCAAATAATGTAACAAAGTCCCATTTAGAAGTATTCTGAGACTTGGTGAGTTTGAGTATCTTTTGGAAATAGTCACATACCCTCAAGCAGAGGACAGAACTGAACCTTAGCTCTCCAGCATTCTGAAAACTTCAGTCACTCTGCTACCAAGGTGGCTACAGGCACCAAAAATAAGGTGTCTGCCAAAATCAAGGAGGGAACATGCCCTATATCATAATTCTCTGTTGGCGCATGTCATGGTTTAAGCACAGCCAGCAATTAAGCACCACAAAGCTGCTCGCTCACTCCCCCCTGCCCAGTAGGATGGGAGAAATAACTGGAAAAAAACCCAGTGCAACTCATGGGTTGAGATAAAGATGGTTTAATAGAACAGAAAAGGAAGGGCTAATAATAATAATAATAAAAAAAATAAAATAGACAAAACAAGTGATGCACAATACAATTGCTCACCACCTGCTGACCAATGCCCAGCAAATCCCCAATCCACAGTACCCTCCGGCCAACTCCCCCTGGTTTATATGCTGGGCATGACATCATACAGTATGGAATACCCCTTTGGCTCGTTTGGGTCAGCTGTCCTTGCTGTGTCCCCTCACAGCTCTTTGTGCATTCCCAGCCTCCGCTGGCAGGGCAGTATGAGAAGCTGAAAAGTCCTCGACTTAGTATAAACACTGCTTAGCAACAACTAAAACATCAGTGTGTTACCAGCATTATTCTCACACTAAACCCAAAACACAGCACTGTATCTGCTACTAGGAAGAAAATCAACTTTATTCCAGTAGAAACCAGGACAGTGCATTAGATATGAGCGCTGTGACTTATGCATCTCATTCTTAGGTGCTTGCCTTTTTGAAGAGTTCCAGCTCGGGGTTCTGGCTTTGAATGTTAGGTCTTGCAACAGTGAACCTGTGTCTATTTCATGCACCACATCTAACCCTTCCACCTCTATACCCCCATTGCAAAACTACTTTACCTAACAAATTACAACCATTCTAGAAACTTCAGTGAAGTGTTTATTCACCTAAACAGAATCTTCTCTCTAGCAAGCCTGCCAGGAGTAAAGCACATTCCAGTAGGTCATGAACTACCCCTAACAGATGATCTAGTAAAAGAAAAAAAACAAATCCACAAATAAAAAAGTGTTTATTTGCAGTGTAACTATCTTTGAATAACATTTTGTTTTTACAAAATATTTCAGGAGGAGTCGTAGGCAAGATGTGAGACATGGAAACCCTCTGACTCAGTGCCGAGGTTTCAACCTGAAAGGTACTATAATTTAGAGATCCTCGTGCTATATAAAGAACACAAGGTTTTCCTTTATGTGATTCATCATAACTCACATTATCTGTGTGGTTTACTGGTAAAGTATAATTATTTTCCAAGACGGAGTTTTGTTTTGATTTGATTTTAACATCTTTCCTTGCAATTACATGTAACTTGCATATATATGATAAAATCATGAACCATGAAGTACATAGTTCAGCATATATGAAATGAGAAGCTGGCAGTGTTAACTAGAAACAGGTACAGTTAATTTCTATTCTACTTCTAAATCCATTCAGTCTTTATTAATTCCTCTTCAGGCATTTAATTCTTGGACCTCAGAATTATTCTGCATCTTAGAGGCCATATTGTGTTTCAGAGCACATCTTTCAGCAGGTGCTCAACCTGTCTTTTGAATTATTTTTCTCCCTTTACGTGGGAAAAGAAACCCTTCCAAATCTCTTTATGAAGTCCTTATTTCCAGCTGTGCAACTGTTTAGTCAGCCTGGCCTGGTGCAGGTGGACAGGGGAGCCAATACTCTGCACTCCCAGCTACCACTTTCCCCAGACTGATGGACAGCAGTCAAATAATGTCCAAAGTCCTCGTAAGACTAGACACACATATAAAGGCAGTTTAATCCTCTTGAACCTCATGCATGTCTAAGCTAGGCTGTGGCAATGTATGCCATCAAACCAAGCACACACGTTAAGAGAACTATGATCCTTTCACCTCTGTTTCTGAGCCTGCATTTTGCAGTGTATTCTCATCTGTACTGTCTGGAGATCAAATAATAGACCTGACTGTGTAATTGAATTTTTTGAGTAAAAGAACAGTGCCTTAAGAGTTAGATGTGAAATACTCAGTTAATAATAGTTTCACTGAAATGGTCTTTCCTGGGTCTCGGAAGAACCTCCTGCATCAAAACAAACCACAACTGTCATTTGGGTGTAGATCCCTCAGCCCAAATGTGGCTAATTATGCTCTAGTTGCCAATATCTACGGCGCCAGCGGGTCTTTCCCCATGACTTAGTACTAGGTCACCTATATGAAGCTGAATATCTTGAACAGGTAATTACAAAAGATGATCCCACCATTAGAGTATGCACTTGAGCTCTGAAAGACCCATGTTAAAGCGTAGGCTCTGAATCCTGAAGTAGCTTGAGCTGCGTGTCCTACCTTGCAGGCCTGTGCTGTGACTGCCCACCCATTGTTTGCCCCAAGGGTGGATGTCTCCTCTTTCCATGTGGAAAATATGACAATGTCAACTGTCTGTTTTCTGGGCTGAGGGGAAAAAAATGTTTAAACCTTGAGGGTCTTGTGAAACAGGTTTCTTTTTTTCCAACCATTTTTTTGATGTGAATGTATTTATAGGTTCATGTGGTTTAGCAACATTATAAATGATGTTTTGGTGGCAGCAGTGGGATATAGCATAGGTAGATGGTAGTTGTTTCCCTAGTGGAAAAAAAGATAAAAAGAAACAGCAGCTTAGACTCTTTCAAAATATAATTAAAGCCATTTATAGCAAAACTGCGTGTTTGGGGAAAAAATTAAATCTACCTAGAGGACAAAAAAGCAGAGAGTCAGGCAATAGCAAGTAATCTTACAAGTGCATAGGGAACCATAATCTTGAAAAGAAGTCTTTGAGCATGTTAGGTTGCATGTGTTAGACCTCTCAGCATGTATAAACTCAACATTTTTGATGTATTGCAATTTTAAAATATATCATCAAGGTCTAAGGGGCTTGTATGATTGCTTTTCAACTGTTCTGTGTAATATTGTTATGTTTGTGTTAGCCCTTATGGCCATTACAGAAATGTATTTGATTCTCTCAGTCTTTCCTTAACATGTATAAGTAGTAGTAGTATGGAGTAGGTAAGAAGTTAGTTATATACCGATCAATTAAACACACAAAAATGCCATTCTGTCGTACACCTACTTCCAGTGTACATCAAAATAACAATGTTTTACAGGTCCGATTCTCACTGTTCACTCCTACAGATAGGTCAACTCACAGATTCATTCTTTACTAGCTTATGGTCTTTGAATGCAAAATGTTTCACATTATTTCCCTAAAAGTTTCAATTGATTTTGGTACAACCTCATAAATATGCTAAAAACTTTGAAGGACTAGAACCAAGCAATGTCTCCTTCCTTTAGTAGACTAGATTACAATTTCACCTATCAGTTGATGAAAGAAGCTGAAAAGAGTGCGAGATAAAGTAGAGTCTGAGGAAAACCAGTCTTAGGACTGTGCAAAAACAGAGTCAGATTTTAGACATGTAGACCTCTAGGTATTTGCATTTCTCATATTAGTTTTGGTACCCATTTCTCCTTTGTAAAAAAAAAAAATAAAAAATTTTAAAAAAAAGGTATTTCATGTATGATGTAAGCTTTTGAATCTGGAAGTGTTATTATTTTCAGGACGAGTATTATTTGGGCCAAACAATGAGCATCTAAAAGTTCCTATCAGTAACTGCCAGTTGTTCATCTATCAAGACTATAAAGGAGCACAACAAGTCTAGGCGATGACATACGCTCAGCACTTGCCCAGGTGTTGCTGGAGTGCTGTAAATCTGTCCTGATCTGTGGCTGGCCTGTCTACGTATTCATTGCATTTCAGATTTAGAGCCAAGTCCCTTCCTTGCTTTACAAGAGAAGCAGGGGAGTGAGAGCCAAGTCTGCCCTCTCTCGCCTCCCTGTGACACCGCACGCAGCTGGAATGGATGACACCTTCTTTAGGGCATGCTGCTGTGTTTTGAGTCATACAACCATATTGGCCCTACTCGTAAACTGTGAAGTGTGAAGAAATGTATTAAATGCTTCATTCCTCTTTGGATAGTTCTACTCAGGCATTCTTGTAGTAGTAGAGAGTGAGATCACTTCAGGGAACAATATCCCTGAGATCAGTTAACCCATCAGCAGAGCTTGCCAGCCCACAAATATCCAACTTTCTCAGAACAGACCATGTCAGATTGAAAACACTGGTATTTGGAGCTGGATGTGCTTCTTCACATTTCATTTAATTTCTTAGAAAATTTTGTGCCCTAAATTACTTATTATTGGTCAATAACAGGATTAGATATACTTCATTTTACCTGCATTGCAAATATTTTACCTGTACTGCAAAGAGTTGCTTGCTTTCTATATCAAATCACCATTCACAGTAGCCTGTCCTGTTTTCTTTTTTCTTTCTAGCATACAGAAATGCTGCAGAAATAGTTCAGTATGGAGTAAAAAATAATACCACCTTTCTTGAATGCACACCCAAATCTCCTCAGGCTTCTATTAAATGGCTGCTACAGAAAGACAATGACAGAAGGAAAGAGGTGAGTAAGATGGTCCTCTGGATGGGACCCCAGTCAGCTTCTCGTCTACCCCCCACAGACCAAGACAAGGGAGCGTTTGTGTTTTGGTCAGACAGTCTGGCTACAGTGAAGCTGGAGAGATTGTATGGATGCAGGACAGTGACCAGCACTTTACTTATATAGGGACAGACTCTTTGGTAAAGCTGGGACTTGGCTCCTCAGCCCCAGTGATTTTTATCGGACTAGAACAGCTGTCAGAAAATTCCTATCAGCCCCTAAAGTCAGGGAACGAGCTAATGAATTTTTCCTTTACACCTTACTAATTGCAAACTGAAGGTTTGTGGCACTCAGGGCTTCTTGTTGATCTGAGGAAATAGGCATAAAAGCAATAACCTGTATAAAGTTTAGGAAGAAGTCAGCATGCAGTAGCCCTTCTGTGCTATTGAAGAGATAAAAGGCAAAAGTGGGAGAAACTAGTCCAGCCTAAGAACACATATTGACAAAAGCATTTCCCAACCGTGGTGAAATCCCATTTTCCATTACCGCACTCTCTAAGGCTCTCAATTTCAGCACTGTAATATACAGTATGATTGTTTATGGGGAATGTGCCTTCCTTAAGTAATATAAAAGGGGAAAAAATCCATTTCAAATCCAAGGCTGTTACTATATGAATAAAAAGAAACATCTTTCAAAGGGAACTATTAAGTAATATGGTGTCTATGGATAGATTGTAAATACCAAAAAGCATTACTCCCATATCAGTCCATTTTCCAAAATCGGAGAGGGCTAACAATCCTTTCACTGAATCTCTAATGCTGTTTTTCACACTTACTCTTCAAAGACTTAAGCCTTGTCCTGGCAATCTAGGTGCAATTCTTTAACTCTTTGCTTCAGCAGAACATCTCCCTTTTTTGTTCTTATGTTCAATAACTGTATTAGAATCATTGTAGTTTTAAATAACAACAAAGTAAAGCAAGAAAAGGGTTAATTACATTTCAAGCTCTCAGATTTCCAGAAATCTTACCTCCAAAATGTCTACAAAAGTTTACAATAACAGAATAGCATAATAAATCAATAAATTCCCAAGAGAATCAAGTATAATGTCAAGTGCAGTGGCAAAATAAAAAAACATTAATGAAAATACCAGCACTGGTATTCTTCCATAAAAGGTTAAATTAGCGATTTTTACTTCATAGTGAATATGCAAAGGGACATGTGCACAGTCATTTGCAATTGGATGGTAACTCAACAAGCTTTGGTAACTTGCTTCCTTCAGATGATGTGACCATCTCCTGGGCCTGTTGAGTCTGAAACCAGAAAGGAAATAGGAGACTAGAAAAATTGAGCTTGGTTTCCAATGAGCCAAGTCACAGCTGAGCCCACTGCGGTGAAAAGTTTTATATCAGACTATAGACTCTGCAGTGCAGATAGATTTCCTCAGAAGTTAGTCCCAGGAACCTGGTCAAAGTCAAAACTTTTAACTAGAAGCCACCTTGTGTTCAACGTCAGGTCAACCCTCAGTTCTGCACATTTCTTTCATCACATCTCAGCAGCAATTTCTGATATTGGAAGAGGCATTCTTGGGGGTAACCCTGGCAAATAAAAGTTCATTTCCTCAGCTCTGCTATTTGAACATTATGAAAACCGTTCTTTCACGTAGTCTCCAGATTTGCATCTTTGCTTTCACCATGATCAAATCTGTGTAACACAACCAATACAAATATTGAAGTAATTTTCTTTAGCGACACTTACCTACCTTGACGTAAGTTCTCTCCTAACAGTAGCAATAACAGTGGTCTCTAGGAAGTGTGATAAAGGAAAATATAGTACCTTTATAAACCCTTTAAGAAAGAAAGAAAGAGGTGTTTGAAGTGAGACTTACCAAGAGGACCAATAGAGGGTTGTTCCATAACATTCCCTAAAAAGTTCCTTCTGCCTTTCTGCCCTTTAGGTCAAGCTGAATGAGAGGATCATAGCTACTGAGCAAGGACTCCTCATTCGCTCTGTCCAAGACAGCGACCGGGGGCTTTATCATTGCATCGCAACAGAGAACAACTTCAAGCAGACCTTAGCAAAGATCAATTTCAAAGTGTTGGATTCAGAGATGGTGGCCTTAATGACTGACAAGTGGTCCCCTTGGACCTGGGCCAGCTCGGTGCGAGCGCTGCAGTTCCACCCAAAGGACTTTGTGGGAGCTTTCAGCCACTCAGAAATGCAGATGATTAACCAGTACTGCAAAGACAGTAGACAGCAAGGTCAGCAGAGGGAAGAATCCCAGAAGATGAGAGGGGACTACAGCAAACTAAAGGCCCTTATCAATAGCAGGAAAAGTAGAAATAGAAGGAATCAATTACCTGGATCTTAATTTTATTTTGTAGTAATAGTTATCTTTGTCCTCACTGTAGGGGGCTTATATTTGTCTATTGAGAACAAATTTGAGCAAATTGATAAAAAATTAAATGAAAATCCAACAAGCCTCAGAAAAGATCTGTCTCCCAATAAAATGCAGTGTAACTTAAGAGAATAATTCAAAGCATTCTTTTTCGTAGATGCTTTCTGACACTAGGTTGGGCTGTGTCCCAGAAGCAGAACTGGGTATTCATCTTAAACCAGATTCACCTCTAACATCTCAGTATTTAATTACAGCCAAACAGAACTTTTTACAGAATCAGCACGTTATCTTGCAGCTCTGGAACTGTACCAACCAGACTGGTGGTGAAAGAATCTGGGTTAAGATGCCTGCTCAAAGTGGGTTGGTACTAAGATTTCCTTGCACTGCATTTAAGAACATGAGTTTCTTCTTGTTTACTGTTCAGTATTGGGTTTACAGCTTTCACTCATTGTTCAAATCATGTGAATGCATGCTGATAGGAAACAAGTAAAGTATAGTAGAAATGTTTCATTCATTCAGAGGTCAAATGAAGGAATGAGTAGAAGAAAAAAAATTATACTTTATCAGAGGAAACACTGATTATTGTGCATAGTATGAGTTGTAATAAATTAATGAGTTCTGGAATGTAACTTAAAATATCTCTGCTCATATTGATTTTTATTAAAATAGGCTGTCCTATAACACTACATAGCTTTATAAGTGGCACAAAGCTAACATGAGACTGTTTGTTATACATACAATTTTAAAAAACACCTAAGTGACTTAGGTATTTTAGCTATTTTTCAAAGACTTACTTACACTCCAATTTATTTCAGAGGACAGAACATGGGTATACTGTATAGTGTTTACTCAGAAATGAAAAACATAGATTATCTTTAATCTGTTCCATGATTAAATGGAGCTGCTCTGCAATATGGAAACAAGTCGTGAGTGTCTTTGAAAATTTTAAAACATTATTTTTTCAACTTTTTTCTCAAAGTTGCAAATATTTTAACTAGAATTTTTACTTTAAACCATTTCCATTTTCCAGTCTTTGTACCCTTTTTCTTTTCATTGTTATTTTCAAAATTTCCTCTTATTTTCAGTTTTCTGCTGAAAAGAAGGTCAGGAAAAGAAAACATAAAAAAAAGAATGAGGGAAAAATAAAACTGAAAAATGGGTTTGGGTCAAAAACCAAAAAGTATAACAACTTGAGAGGCATGTTTAAACAGAAATATTTTGTTCAAGAAGCAGCTGTCAGGTCTAATGAAGTATGTTTCGCTGAAAATAGGGTAAATGTGCATCAAGCAGTCCTGGTGAAAACTATCACTTTTTTTTTTGAGCAACATTAATGCCAAAAATATAGGGACAAATTTTCCCCATTTTACTATGTAAGAGTGTTCCAGAAGCCACTGAGTCTGTTCAAAGGGGATAGATAACAGGGATTAAAAATGTACAAGTAGCTTAGAAAAACTGTGGTTTATTCCATGATATTTTATGATAGTATACACAAACACAAACTAATGTTCAGCTCAAAACTGAGATATGTTAAGCTAAAATAGTGAAAAATAATTTCTGAAGAAAAATATTTTTAAAAAGTTGTTAATTCCAGCCAGTAGCAGATGGATACTGTATTTTAAAACAGCGTTTTAAACATTTTAATGGGTCTTTGTTGAAACTCTGGGCATTATTTTGAGATTCTGCTTCTGTTAGAATGCTCTGGGAATAACTCTACAGAGTGTAGAAGAACACCTCTGGGTTTGTGCCAGTGTGAATTAAGATCTAGTGCAATGGAAGTAACTCTGGTATTTAGCTGGTATCAGTTAAATGTGTCACTTCATCACCACCTGACGCAGAATAGCTGGGAAAGGGGCCTTGATTGATCAAACCACTTCAGCACTGTCTCAAAGCCCCTTTGACACTGATGGGAGCTCTTTAAATTTATTTTACATGTTTACTGCTTGCTTCAAAGCGGATGGCAATACCAACCTGCTCAGATATTGCCATCCAGTTAAGTGCTTTCCTTAATTGAGGCCTAAATGCATATTTCTGCAACACGTAGCCTCTGGTATCTAAGGCCCTTCTTATGGAAACCGTCAGGAAACTTTCTCTGTGACTTCAGTGAGCTTAGATCTGGCCCCAAGAGCGAGCAAAGCAGACTCTGAGGAAAAAAAAAAAAAGGATAATGAGATGGGTAAGGAAAAATAAGGATTCTGGGTGGGTTTTTTCCCAGCTGACTTCCAGTGCTGCAAACTTTTTTTTTTTTTCTGAGGATGACTGACTTCTCAAGTGTGTAAATGACAAACCAAAAATCCAGTGCCACAAAATTGAACTACCTCCTGGAATGACATTAGTGCATATACTCTGTATGCTTCCATGCTCTTCCTATTTTCCCAACAGATTCACTGCAGAGTTAGTGTGATATTAATGTCTATTGTGAGGGTCATAATTGCTTCCAGATGCAATACAGTGATTAATAGGTATTTAAGGGTACCATTTACCCTTTAAGTGGTAAGGTACAGTGATATTTTAATAGGCCCCCTTTAGGCCTCAGAAATTATAGTTACACTGTTTTCTAATAGAATATTGGCAATAAGGGATTCCGTTAAAACAATCAGCATAGCTCAGAGTTTCATATGATTATAAAATAATATTTTTAAAGCTGCTTCATATGCCATTATTATGGTATGACTGTTTAAGGGATTATACTTAAACTAACATTTTTCCTGCTGCATGAAAACTTCAGCATATATATAATAAGCTTCTGTCAGTGCATAACCGGTCCAAGCTTCCATGCTGTAGCAGCCTTCCCCTATGTATAGAGTAGTTGGGAGCCAGACGCTCAGCTGGTATGAACTAATGTGACTTCCTTGCTGTCCATTTAGCTACTGTGCTTTATACCAGCCGAGAGTTTGGCCCTAAATGTACAGAACAGACAAACTGCAATTTTTTTTTTCGTTTAAAGTAGCCCCTCTACTGTAGGTAACACCAAAACATAAGACTGTAATATTGTTTGTGCTATTTAATACCTCCTATTTTGAGGATTACTAAATAATGTACATATTTTATTCCTTAAAAAATACAAAAGCAAAATGACTTCTAGGCATAACTTCACCAAATGTAAAGATATGTTCTCTTCACAGTGTACCGATATTTTTTGGCTATTTTTATTTTGGGTAGTTTGTAAAGTTTGCTGAAATCTCGACCTAACAATGTGTTCTTTGCAGTTGTTGTTACTGTAGATATGTGTGTTTTATTAAGAAAATCTTGTTTTTAAAAGTGTAGGTATGTGTATAAGTTCCTAGCATGATGAAACTGTCATTACAGTGAATATGCATTATATAGTTGTGTAAGAAAGAACAAAATGTAGTTTAACATAGTGCTATTTAATTGAATATCTAAGATATTATTTGCCTGACAAAATAAAGTGTGTTGCAACAACCTAAAAATTTGTTGTTTCGCCTTTTATAAATGTGTGTTAAAAACAAAGAACTTTTTATTTTAAGCTGAAAAGCAGTCCCACAGACTGTCTTAAACAAGTCCAAGAAAATACTTTGGAACACCAGGTGTTGCAGATGATCAGTTCTGAGCCCTGCTTTGCACCGAACACTCAGTCACAGAGATTTCCAGGAATTCATGAGGAGTCAGAGATTAATTCTTCCAGAAATTATCCCATATAAGGACCTTGCATGTAAGCAGTTAACATTTTCTCATTGTTAAAAAAAAAAAAAAAAAAAAAAGATTTTTTTTTTTTTACTAGGAGTATAAAGCCAATCAGAAATGTCAGACTAAAGAAGGGGAGTGAAGTGTAAATGCTTTCTGCTTTTATTCCACTGAGAAAAAAAAAAACAACAAAACACACAAACACACCCCCAAACAAACAAAAACCCAAACACATTCTGTGAAATCCTGTCACTGAAACAAATTGTGTTGTTCAGCACTGTCTTTCAGTTGGGACTCGAGGCATTCTCCAAGCAGCTCTGCAGGTGAGGCAGGCTGGTGGACTGTGCCGTGGGGAGCCGCAGCTCTCTCATTTCCTGGAATGAAATAACCTGCCTGACACCTACAGTATGCTCCTTTTTCCTGCGTCTATTGTCCAAGCAGTGTTACTACTGCTCTTCTTGTCATCTGTTTTTCCAGATGGGTTTTAATGAGAAATAACAGGGCCTCCTCAGTTCTTTGGGATAATAATTAAAAATTAAATGTCACAAACACTGACTTTTGCAACAAGGTTCTGGATCATTAAACCTGGACTGTGTTTTCCCAAATTGATAGGTTTCTGCAAGGCATTACAAGGTGGGAGTGGATAAAATTGCCTCACTCCAGGATTTCTGTACTAGCTGATTCCTAGATGTGCTGATACTAGATAGTTACCTGCTCAGCACTCAGGCCAGTTTGGGTTGGAAGCTGAGATTTCGAGCACTTCCACATGCTGTAGGAAATGTTTGGATTAGGCTCCAGAAAAGCTGGGCATTTGCAGAGTTTTACACTGCAAAACCTTTCCAAGATCTGATCCTCAGCTTTTAGATCCTGCTCCAGTGTCTTTTGTTGATCTCCCCCTTCCTTTTTTGCCCCACTCCTGCAGGGCTGCAGTATGGTTCAACACTTACTGCTTTGATTCTGTAGCTCCAAGCAGCGGCAAAACAAGACATGGCATTTCTCCAGACATCAGATGTGAAATCTTCAAAGATCTGAACATTCTCCTTTGTCTTTCAACTGTCTGTCGGAATTTCTTTTTTTCCATCTGAGAGTCACTGCTTTTTCTAAGGTCGCTCTTCTGGTGACAAGAGCTTTCTAAGCTACTCCCTTCAAGTGAAAGCAGGATGAAAAACTCACACACTTACACAGTCTGTTGCAATGCATGTGCCCATGCAGGATCCCTACAGGGCAAAGCAGTGTCAAGTGCATCTCCTCTATGCAGCCACAGAAGCCCAGAGGGGACCAGTGAAAAATGTTGCTAACAACAGGGTGGCTTTCAATGCTACAGGATTACTGTTGCCTCCAGAATTAAGTCAGCAGCTGTAATTCTGTGGGGCAGGCCATAAAAG